AGATACCCCATAGATACAAAAAAAATTCAGTTGGCAGTTGTTTTCACACAAATTAATTCAAGTTTCGAATGCCTGACTGACCTGTGGAACTGCCTCGGGAAACAAAACAGAGGGTGACCACAGAATTTCCACATACAGAAACAAGATTTGAAAATGCAACTCTACTTGTTTTGCCCATCCTGCAGTGATTTTTAGAACTCTCAAATGCCAGAAGAACTTAAGACGTTATTAAACCACAAACATTCATTTCCTATGGCTTTCTACTCACAAGGCTGAGATAGGCAAGCAAACATTTAAGGAACAATGACAGCAAGAGTACATTTTTAAGATTACTGTAAAAACAGTAGAAGTAGACATAAAAAAACCAAACAAGGTTGTATCATTTTGTTATTTTCAAGAAAGAAGCTATTCATGAAGTACGGAGGGAAGAGGAAGAATGTATTTTATTCCTCCCCTCATGGGGCTTTTAAATATATACACAACATATCGCAAGCTCTGGGAATTTTCAAGAAGAGTAACGCAGCACATAAGCACTAACAGCATCCAGAGCCTCTGAGTCCTTCCCCAGCTCATCTCCAAGCACGCATTCCAGCGTAAAGAACCGTGCTTTGAGCGTCCCTCAGAAGACACGTGGAACGCCGAGGCACTCCGCACAGCTATTATCCAAAAAGTCCGACCCCGCAACAAACGGCACTATGGAAGAAAGCTAAATTATCAAAACTTTATTTCGGCATTGCATGCTCAACAGGGTGATCTGCATATCTGACTAAGCAGCCAATTTGCTGCTAGGTAAGCAAAGAATTTCCGATCCTGTTTGTACAACGCTGAACTCGAGCACGCCAGAGGGTGAACTGTGAATATTCTGTGAGGCTCAACTGATTAAATCACTCTTTTTGTAATAGCATTTCTGTAAAGGAAAAGCACTTCCATTTACCCAAATGTAAACATTGCTTTAACAGAAATGGGAATACATGGTCCATATGAAGGAAAACAAACATATAGAACCTAGCCAGCCTGTTTCTTTTGGAAGTGAAGTCTTTTTATGCTTAGTGGATGACAAATCTTTTTTGGCATATTCACTATTTAATATCCACCACTTAGTTCTAGGTTTTGCTTTTGTGGTATTTAAAAATAAAAGAAAACACCAGGTCATTTTCCAAGGCCTAGAACAGCAGTACTGCACTCAGTATGGATAGTGATTAGTAACAAGAAATCCTCCCTCCTTTTTTCTGCCCAGATGTCTTCTGTCCCCACCAGCATTTTTTTCAGCCTGCAAATCGTTATAAGATTTTGCTGGGTCCAGTATTGGCAGAGTTTGCTCCTCACCCGTTGCAGCACTCTGGGAGTGTGTGGATGGGAAGGGTGGATTTCAGCCACTTGGTCTGTTGAGCTGCTCTTCAAAGTACCATCCCATATACTTATGCTTCTTTACGTCGTCTCTGAGGTTCAAGATTCAGCAATGAAACCTGGATCCTTCACATGGTAAGCGATGCCCAGCATGAAATAGATCAGAAAACTTAGTAAAAATCTAATTATTCCTGTTAGCAAAGATCAAGTCCAGAGAAGAACAGCCAAGACCATCTTTGTAACAAAAATGAAGGCTGAAAAAGGACACAATTCCTCCCTCTGCAGAGCTAAGGGATTAAGGATCAGAGCAGCAATGCTATTTGAGCTAACAGGTATTGTGACTACAAGGACACAGCCACACCACCATGAAGAGATTAGATGGTTTATACCCACCAGAGGCTTCTGAACAGCCTCAGTATCTTTTCCAGTTCTGTTTCCAGTTCAAGGCCACGCAACTGCCTCATGCTGATCACCCTTCCCTCTAGGAATTGTTTTTCATTGACATATTGACCATCCAGACCGAGACCCTCGCTGAGGAAAACCAGGCAGCTACTTATTACTACTGCCACTTCAATCACACAAATACTGGACAGAAAGAACGAGCTAAGTAACGCTACAGAAAAAGAATCTGATGGTTGCAGAGAATTTACAAGGTGAACACAAGGCAACAGCGTTTATTTATTTTGACAGCAGCACTGCAGTTTATGGGGATCAAAGGCAAATATAAACTGGGTCTCAGCTGGAGTAGAGCATCCAGCTTTGGGACCTTGTGCCTTAAGGAGGAGGTGTCTCCAATACAGACTGCCTACAGAAAGCCAGTAAGAATGATCAGATGGTCAGCAAACAACCTACAAGGGCGGGCTGAAGAAACAGAGGAGGCTGGCCTGACAAGACCACAAAGTCTGTAAGTACTTTAAATAAAGTGAGAAAAAAAAAAAAAACCAAACAAAAACCCCACCTTTTTTTCTGTTCACGGCCTGTACGAGAAGAAACAGGCTTGCACTGCAGCAAGGAAGGTTCGGGTTAGATGTTACAACTCGCAAGGGTGGCAAGGTACTGGAGCAAATTATTGGGGAGCAGAAACGTCAATATTATTTACCTCCAAGACCAGCCCACATAAACATCTGTTAGGAAGAAAGTTATGCATGGCAGACCCTGCCCTGAAAGGAAGTATGGACTAGATGGCCTTCCATGCCTACGAGTCAACGTTTGATTATTTCATATCCTATCATTATTTATTTGCTGTACTACAACATCTATAAAGTCTAGCCACTGACCCGTGCCAAGTCCTGTGGTAAGATAAACACGTGGCAGAAATTCCACAACAGGCAGGGAAAAAGAAATGTAAGCGGCAGCAGTAGGACAGGCAGGTAGGGAGGCTCAAAGAAAACAGCAAGACAGCATCGATAGTCCCAACGGCACGCCAAGAAAGAACTCTTGAAGACTTTTGCAGTCATCGTAGTAAAGGAAAATTAAGGGTTGTTTAATGGAAGGGGTTGTGTATGGGATGCTCCTCCCCGCATGAAAATAATGGTTTTAAACGCAAGAGGCAGACAATGGGGGCTGGCACGCTGCAAATAAAATTAGCGGCTGACTAAGGTGAGGTGATAAGAAATAAGATGGCGCGGGATCCAAGATAAGGAAAAAGCCTTCCTACTAGAAGCAAGGGAGCCGAGCACAAGCAAGCGATGAAATATCAAACCGCCATCCTGTACAACACCCTCCGCAGCATCGCTCTGTGCGGATGTACGCGTGATGAAATTTGTCAAGTGAGAGAAAACATTATTGGAAGGAGTGATTAATTAGGTGGTGAGATGTTGCCTAAGTTTTGCATGTGCAGATGGCCAAGGACCTCATCACTGAAGATTTCATGTAGAAAGAAATACGGGTGTTTAGATAACCCTACTACTCCGAATTAGAGAAAATCTTCTTTCAAAGATGATGCCTGATTTGAATTTGCATGATAAGCAAACAAGGCTGTTTCATCTGCCGTGACTAAGACAGTGAAGGAGGAGGACTGGCAGGGGAAGAGGATCTCCAGTTTAACTGTGTGATGCATAAGCTGATGCCTCATTTACACAGACGCTTTCTGAAAGACAAAATGAGATTTTAAATCGTGACAGAGAACAGAACTAGGGAACACCAGAACTGCTGGTATGACCACTGGTTTCATGCTTATGCAAAGGGAGGGACAGAGGAAGCAAGGTGACAACTGTGGTCTTTGATTCCATACAGAAAACCAAAAGTGGGACAAACACGATGTGGTGAGGAAGCATCTAGGAAGGTGAGAAAAGAACTGGTGGCGACCAACCACAGATGCCATGGGAAAAAAGGAGTCCGAGAGCATGACTACTAGTGGCAGAAGGGAATTTCTACTAGCTCATGGAGAACCTTGGTCCTCCTATTACGGAATAAACACGTTTATGTCGGCTTTGCACTCTGGTGTATGTTGTAGACTGACCGGGGTAAATAGATTTAAGGGGGGGGGGGGGGGGGGGGGGGAGAAAACGTTAACCCCCAACGTTCACCAGGCTCGCTCACAGAGAACACCGACACTTTGTTTTCCAGGGGACTGTTTTCACCTGCAATTTTTATGAAAGGCTGAAGCACCACATAAACCTCGAGTAGTACAACAGGGTGTACACCAGTAAACTTTAAAATTCATTACATCTATCTGGAGGGCTGGGAACAAGACAATCACATCATCATTTATATATTCCTACACAATTAAAGCAAAATCTTTTGTTCGGATGACAGAAGTCAGCTGTGTCAATTGAATTGCTCTGATTGAACTAATTGAATTTCCATTGCTCAAGTCTGGTTTTCAACAGTTTTGTATGACATTCAAAAGACTGAAGACTTCCTTTATAAATGGAAGCGTGTGCGGGGAGGGACAACAAATGATTTGGCTGTTACCCAGAAAATAACAAATGTGCAATGTATTTCACTGGAGCAGCATACAGAATTTTATCTTTCAGTAGAGGCCTCCATTTACTAGGGAGGTACACGAAGCACGCCCTGTGTTTTAGGGTCCTCTTTCCATGGGGACAGAGGTAGGGACCCTCACCCTGCTGACTACTGAAGTCAAACTGAACGTTACTTATCCAAAAGTTCTGCTTCACCCCCGCAGCTACGATTGCGTTAGCACACAAAACATACTTGAATTACAGCTTTCCACAACAGAGGACACAGACTACTTGTGAAACTCCTGCTTTTGCCCACCCAGAAACTCCATACCCACCTAGGAGGGAAAACAACACAATGTGGCCACAAGAGGATGAGGATTCTCAATTATTTCCAGAAAAACATTTATTTAATTAAATTTTAATTAAATGCCAGGCTAGATCTCATGGCTGATGCCTACTAGCAGCTTCTGTACAAACTCGCTGATTGTTCTTTATTCTCACTGCAGAAGGGGAACTGCAAGCAGCTTGTGAGCCAAAACCAAAGCGCCCACAAAGTCAGTGGCAACAATTCCATTAATTCTACGAGCCAGGCCACCAATCCAGCACGCGCTCAACCTCCTGTTCAGCACCAATTCATTATACTTATTCCAGTACGCCACTTCCACTTTTAAAGACATCAATGGTGCAGGCACGCGAGAACCCTGCTTTGTAAGCCTAACAAGGCCCATCTGCTCAACCTCCTGTTCAGCACCAATTCATGATACTTATTCCAGTATGCCACTTCTACTTTTAAAGACATCAATGGTGCAGGCACGCAAGAACCCTGCTTTGTAAGCCTAACAAGGCCCATCTTGAAAATTATCTTTATCTTTAAAATTAATTTAGTTTTGATAATCACTTCTGTGCTACAGAATCTGCTTCCTTCCCCTTTCATTCTGTCTCTGAATAAAGAAGGCATCCACATATTCCAGCACAAGTCAAGTCTTCAATTTGTTAAATTCACTTTTCCTTTTCTTCAATTAACTCTTCCTTTTCTTCCTCTGTGTCTTAACAGAAGCTGTATTTGTTTTTGTAACTGAGCATAAAAAGGTGGCAGGAGACACACCACACACGGGAAGACCAGCCTGCATGCCCAAGAAGCACCAGGTACTTTTGGGTGGACAGGATTTCTAAGTTCTGACCTATCTAGGTGTCCCACACAACGCACACGTCACTTACCTCAATTTACCCACCTATAAAACAGGCATGAGTCTTCCTCCTCCTTTGTACATCTCGTGGATATTATTGGTAGTTATGAATGATTCGACGATTCCTCAGAGTTATCAATCCATGGGCCGGCTTTGTCTCTGGCTCAATGAGTTTTTGAACCATTACAAGAATTGCAAAATCCTCTTTCAGAGCGCTGGCTGAAACAGAAATTTCTTATCCTATCGCTACCTGTGATTGACCTCCGAGTTTAACAATGGAATTATTTATGTAATTGGGCAAAAAGCGCGACAGATGTACAATGCACTGTACCGTCAGATTAGGCAGAAAAATTAGTGAGTGACAAAGAAAAGCAGAGGAACTAAAGGATTATTAAACTCTATTTGTTAACCTACTTTAGGGACTGGGAAGACCTAATTGTTAAGGAAAACCACCCTGGGATGAGCTGATCTTTTTCAGCTGAAACTGTAGTTTTCATTTTAGAACTATTTTTGTTTCATTGGCTTCAAAAAAAGATTATTTAATTTAAAAAAACAAAACAAAACAAAAAACAACAGTTTTCACCCTGCTTTCCATATCGGAAAGGGGTTCGAAGATGGCACAGAAAAAGGATTAAATTACAATTTTCAGGCTTGGAGTGTTCATTGTTTAAAAAACCAAACAAACAAACCAACCCAAACCCACAACCTTCAGGCAAAAATACATTTTGTAGAGTATCTTAATTTTTAATGGCATTTTCAGAAACGCCGTTATGACTCATTCCATGAACGGATAGCCATCTAGGCTCTAGACAAAGAAAATAAGCAATATAACTTCCACAAAAAAGGTCGCTTCATTAGGGCTGAGCCCCAGTGCATGGGAAGCTACCACATGCCTTCCTGTCGCCCTGCCTGTGGCCAGGAGGTGCTTGGGAGGACGCAGGGAGTCTCCTATTGCCCCACAGCAGAGCTCAATCCTACAGTAGGACTACTGCAGGACTCAGGTTGTGCCCAAATTCAAGTCTGTAGGAATTGTACTGCAACAGTCAACAGGGACAACAGTCGGGGATGCTTATAGAACATTTTCATGAAATAACCAACAGCCTTGTGAAAACTTTGTACACTGGAACTTCCGATTCCCTCTTTCCTGCATCTTAAGGTAAAATATCCTTAAAACTCAAAGTAAGTTCTTAAGGAATGGGAGGTGGAAATGACAGAAGTGAAGCAACAGGCAGATGAGAGGTTGAGAAGCGCAAACCTGGCAATTCTTTGAAGAGGGTAAGGAAGACTGAATGAAATTGGGAAGGTTGCGTGTGTGTATGTACGTGCCGCTGATACTCAAGAGCGGTCAGGAAGGAAGCTAAGTATTCTCTTCAATAGGACAGAATAATTATTTCTACTGCACAGGTGAAATTTTATGATCTGCTAATGCAGATGTTGGGGCTAGGCAGTTAAATAGACTGCTCTGACTATAAAAATCAGAGTTCCTCAATTCCAGACCCATCTTTGACCCTTAACTGACACACGACCTTTGGCAATTCACTTTAACAATTTTAAGTGGAAAATGCACTTATAGAGTGCTAGAAAACTGAGTTTTGATGACACATTACTGAGAGAAAATAATGTTTGGGGGTTAGTATTTCACAAGTCCCCCACTTGCCAGTAAAAGATTTTTCTCATCTGAACTGGTATCTGTATTAAGAGGAAGCCCGGGTCTAGCAGAACATTCCTTATCCCTCATCACCCCAAATTTTTCAAGAGCTCCTAGCTCCAAATTCCATTTTGGATCAAATCTGAAATGTTCCATTCAACGTAATTGGAAACAAATATTAATAACTGAAAAGCCTGACCTACAGTTTCAGGAATGGCAAACAGAAAGCATTATCACAGAGAGAAGTAGAAAAGTCCTATTTATTACAATATTGAAACAAATTAATTTATTACTGAAATAAAACCTTGTGTAGTGAAGTGCAAAAATAGAAGGTATTTATGTGTAAGGGTTGGGTTTTTTTCCTTGCCTGAATTCAACATATTTTTACTCATTATCAGAGTAATTCACTCCCTGTGAATCCCTGCCCTTTTGCTATTATTTACAGAAAACACAAAACCGAAACCTTACCACCTCCAATTCCAAAATTGAATCCCTGCCCTTTTGCTATTGTTTACAGAAAACACAAACCGAAACCTTACCACTTCCAATTCCAGAATTTTAGCCCAGCCTGACCACTTGAGGAAATCCTGTGAAGCTTTGGTGCCAGTTTGAAACCTAGCAGAAACAGCCGCTTCCACGTACGCTGGTCTGGAGCTGGCAAGCGGAACCAGGCATTACACTGCTGCTGCTCCCATCTTTATCACTTACACTATGACCGACAGAGCATTGGACATGACAGATTTTTTTTTTTTTAGCACTGGCAAAAGTTACTACAGCAGCTGCACTGGTAATTACGCTAGTAACTATGCCCCATGAATCACATTCCTCTTGAAGGCCCCTGCCCAAGAACTGTCCTCACTTTCATCTTCACTACTTAAACTGTCAGACTTGAAAGCTCCCACATCCACGGCAGCAAGTTTTGCACAATACGCTCTTTCTATGGCAGGTGCTTCTTATTTGGAGTGTTAAGAAAGAAACACACTCCCTTCTTTTGAAGAACTTCTGCGAAATCAAAGCCCAATCATTCTGTAAAGTATAAAAACTACATTTCCTTTTCCTCCCCCTGAAAAGAGCAGAGCCGGGCAAATACTCCCAAAAGCTTTCTTAAAGCCCTAGTGGAACAGTAAGGCTGCTGTACTTTCAACTACATTCACACTGCAGGTGAGTAGGCCTTGTAAAAACCTGACATCACGCTCTTGTTGCTTTGTGTAACTCAGACAAACTGCTATTAAAAAACCAAGCAAACAAACCCACCACCTTTCTATTTATCCCAAAACATAGATTTGGCAAGAATCTCTGAATTTCCATTTTAATTGAGTCCTCCAAACGTCTGTCATCTTCAGGAACAGCTAAATCACTCCTGCAAACTCTTTTTGATAAACTTCATTTTATACAGTTTCATTTTGACATCATCATTCAGCTGTATTTTCCACCTTAGTTACAAAATACATTAACACATATTTTTAGCTATGAATTCCGGGAGTATGTAACCTTCTTAAACTTTTTGTACTAAAAATTGTCATTTTTTCTTTCCTACCTCTGATTTTGTGTTCCGTTCTGGCATACCACAGCTGAGTTTATCAGCTTTTTAAAGGGAATTTTATTGGGAGTTTTGCAAGAATCTCTGATCTTTTCCTACTTCTGTGCTGACCCACTCGCAGATCTATGATAAGCTTAAAAAAAAAAAAAAAAAATAAAAGCAATGCTGATTTCCCACTCTCCCTCTCATCACGTGTCTAACAAGTTATTGCATTTTGATTCTCTACAAACTACTCGGGAAAGCTGCACGGCCTGCTCATTTGACTTCAGAATTATGCTATTTCTTCTATTTAGCCTTTTTTCACTTTCACGTTACACACATATTTTCCCCTCAAATTATCCTGAAGGTCTGTCTAGCAATTAAGCCAATCCGTAATTTTTTTGGCGTACAATGCCTAATTCATGAGATTTTACAAAAGTTCTGAAGTTGATCACGGACAGGACAGCTTGTAAAAGGAGCAACAGCAGCAGTAAATATTCAGTTACAACATAAGCAATACGTATTATAAGCCACTGGAACTAACTGAACAATTAATTTTCATTTGTTAAATCCTGTATAGTAAAATGAAGTATCAAAGCCATAAAAAAGCACTTATTTGTAATGATGTCATCCTACCATCCTTCAGAAAAGACAAATTTGCCAGTTTCCGTGAGGAATTGCTTGGTTATCTGCAGAACACCAAAGAACAAACAATTAGTACTTTTAAGCATCCTTTTTAGAGAGAGAGATGATACACAGTGCATCTCCTGGTTACAAAACCAAACAAACCAAAAAACCCCTCCAAAACTCATCTAAACCCTGTCCTAAAAGCACGTCAACTACGACAACCAGTTTTGGTAGGAAATAAAAACAAACCATATTTGACAAACAGAAACTGGGGGGAGGGGGGAACGGCATACTGCAAAAGACCTGCAGAAAACTATTTAAACTATTTAAAAACCCGATGTACAAGTTACAGGTGGTTTATTGGTGTATATAATGACCAGTCTATTCCTGCAGATCAGCAAAAATGTGTGAAACAATTTCTTCCCTTGTTTTGTTAATTATGAATTTCTAGGCTCCACTGATATGCCGGATATTGTGCAAATAAAAAGGGAAGTAACACCCTACACTCAACTCTGGAAAAAAAATGCCAGTTTTGAGACATACCAGAAGTATTCACCTCTTCTTCTCCCAATTTGCTAACTTAAACCAGCTGCTTCCCATTCTACACATTGCTTTAAACAACCTTTCTTCATTTCTTGTCTGAGCTTCCTAGTTGAGCATCAATCTCTTACCTGGAATGCTGCTAGAAAACAGAATATTGTGACACAAATGTGGAGTGTTTGCAAGCAATTAATGCAGAAGCCAAGGGGAATCACTCACGTGCCAGAGCAATTATACACCAGTCCCAGAAGCAAGCACTGAAAAACATACTGTTTTGAACTTGCCCAACTCCCTCAAAGGGCTGATTACATTTAAAAAATGAGCAAATAACAGCAGACAAGAACCCTTGTGGGTTTACACTGGACCGCTCAGTTTACACCTTGCTAACCGCTACTGGTAGAGATTTAAACACCACCAGACAGAAGGCACAGCACCAACATCCAAGCCTCTTACAACGGTAGTAAGCTCCAGAGCTTATTCATTCAAGGTCTTGAGCTCTTCTCCTTTCTTTTTTTATTCTGCCTGTAGCACCCCCCTATTGATTTTAAGGGTCTCGAAGCGTAAATTTGTGTTGTCAGAAAATTTATCTAATTTCCCAATGCTGGTTTTTGACCCTTTTCCCCAGAATTCCTGGATACCAGCAATCAATACTGTTCTAAATTCCCCTTAATGACCAACACTCCAGCTACGCTGGGGTGTGGGGAAGTTAAGGGCAGGAAGAGGGACAATTTAAGAACAGAATTTTCTCTTTCCAGTTACCATATCTACACACACGGAAACAACTGAAGAAGTTACACAAAACATGAAGGAATGCATTGTCTAGATGCAGCAGGGACAAACAAGATACCAGCAGATCTACAAAGGAGTATTATAAGCCACAAAAAAAAAACCCCAAACAAACAATCAGCAGCTCATTTCAGCAAATGCTCAGCTACCCAGCAATTTTACAGACATGGAACACAGCAGGATTTCGCACATGATACATATGCTTAACGTACAGGAGCCCTTCGCATGAAACTTGTGTTAATATAAGGCTGCAGTATTCACGTTAAAAAAAAGAGATTTTAATAAAAAAAAAAAAAAAAGGACAAAAAAGAAAAG